GTCCCCCGCACACACGACTACCAGACACCAAAACCGTCCCCGCCACACACGACTACAACACGACTACCGTCCCCGCCACACCGACTCGCCCGCCACACACGACTACCAGACAGCCAAACCGTCCCCGCCACACACGACTACCAGACAACCAGACCGTCCCCGCCACACACGACTACCAGACAGCCAAACCGTCCCCGCCACACACGACTACCAGACAGCCAAACCGTCCCCGCCACACACGACTACCAGACAACCAGACCGACCCCGCACACACGACTACCAGACAACCAGACCGTCCCCGCCACACACGACTACCAGACAACCAGACCGTCCCGCCACACACGACTACCAGACCCAAACCGTCCCCGCCACACACGACTACCAGACAACCACACCGTCCCCGCCACACGCGACTACCAGACAACCAAACCGTCCCCGCCACACACGACTACCAGACAGCCAAACCGTCCGCCACACACACGACTACCAGACAACCAAACCGTCCCCGCCACACACGACTACCAGACAACCAGACCGTCCCCGCCACACACGACTACCAGACGACAAAACCGTCCCCGCCACACACGACTACCAGACAACCAGACCGTCCCCGCCACACACGACTACCAGACAACCAAACCGTCCCCGCCACACACGACTACCAGACAACCAAACCGTCCCCGCCACACACGACTACCAGACAACCAGACCGTCCCGCCACACACGACTACCAGACACCCAAACCGTCCCCGCCACACACGACTACCAGACCTCCCCGACACACGACAACCAGACCGTCCCCGCCACACACGACTACCAGACAACCAACCGTCCCCGCCACACACGACTACCAGACAACCAACCGTCCCCGCCACACACGACTACCAGACAATACCGTCCCGCCACACACGACTACCAGACACCAGACCGTCCCCGCCACAAACGACTACAGACAGCCAAACCGTCCCGCCACACACAACTACCAGACACCAAACCGTCCCCGCCACACACGACTACCAGACCGCCACACACGACTACCAGACAACCAAACCGTCCCCGCCACACACGACTACCAGACAACCAGACCGTCCCCGCCACACACGACTACCAGACAACCAGACCGTCCCCGCCACACACGACTTACCAGACAACCAAAACCGTCCCCGCCACACACGACTACCAGACAACCAACCGTCCCCGCCACACACGACTACAGACAACCAAACCGTCCCCGCCACACACGACTACCAGACAACCAAACCGTCCCCGCACACACGACTACCAGACAGCCAAGACCGTCCCCGCCACACACGACTACCAGCAACCAGACCGTCCCGCCACACACGACCACAACCAGACCGTCCCCGCCACACACGACTACCAGACAACCAGACCGTCCCCGCCACACACGACTACCAGACAGCCAGACCGTTACCAAAACCGCGTGACTTCTCGACAAGACGATTCAAACTATCACCATGACTTCTCCGCCCCCCCCCTCCAGTTCCCTCTCCCATACCCCTCCCCTTCCTCCCTTCCTTCTCCTCCTCCTCCCCCACCATCTCCTTCCCTTCCTCCCCTTCCCTCCCTCTCCACCACCACTTCCCTCCCCACTCCCACCCCTCTCCCTCTCGCCACAATCCCCCCTGCACCTCTTCGCCACCCACTTCCCCCCCTCCACCTCCCCACCCCACTCCCCACTCCCACCCCTCCTCCCCTCTCGCCACAATCCTCCCCCTCCACCTCTTCCACCCACTCCCCACCCCTCCCCCCCTCCACCTCCCCACCCCACTCCCCCAACTCCCCCCCCTTCTCGCCACAATCCTCCCCTGCACTCTTCCACCCCCACTCCCCACCCCTCCACCCCACCCCCCCTCCACCCCACCTCCCCCCTCCCCACCCCTCCTCCACCCTCTCGCCACAATCCCCCCCCTCCACCTCCCCCCCACTCCCCACCCCCCTCCTCCACCCCTCTCGCCACAATGTGTTAGTGGGGGGGGGGAACGCAAGCCCGGTACCGTGATTGTTTTAATTAGTAACTTGATTCCCATTCGAGGTGCGGCTGTGGCGATGTCCTCGACTGGCTTCAGGTGGGGGGTGGGGGAGGGAGGGAAGAGGGGGGGAGGAGGGGAGGAAGGGGAGGAGGGGAGGGAAGGGGGGAGGAGAAGAGTGGGAGGAGGGGAGGGAGGAGGGAGGGAGGAGGAGGGAGGAGGGGAGGGGAGGGGAGGGGAGAGAAGGAGGGGAAGGTGGGAGGAGGTGCCCTCGACTGGTTCTGGCGATGCGACTGTCGCCCTCCGGTCCGGGGGGGAGGGGTGGAGGGAGGGGAGGGGGAGAGGAGGGAGGGAGGAGGGGGGAGGAAGGTGGAGGAAGAGTGGGATGGGGGAGGGGGAAGGTGGGAGAGGGGGAGGGCGGAGGGTGGTGAGGATGGTGAGGAGGGGAGGGAGGGGGAGGGGAGGGGGAAGTGGGGGAGGGGAGGGAGGAGGGAGGGAGGGAGGGGAGG